TTCATGGTCAAGCAAAATAATTCCTTTTGTTGGCTTTGATAAAAAAAAAAAGATATGTCTCATTCTGTACTCTGAAACCTTTATATGTCAGGAGATATCCATCCAGCATGCTTTGTCATCAGTCCTCTGGAACCACGGATGCTCATTGTATTGGTCACAGTTGTTTGTCTTTACAATATTGTAGTTACCATATAATTGTTTTTCTGGTTTTGATCATTTCATTCTTCATAAGTTTACACAAATCTTGCAAGTTTTTTTTCAAATAATATTGATATTAGAGTAGAAATTGTTCTTCTGGCTCTGCTCACATAACTCACATATATAAGTCTTTTTATGTCTCCTTGAAATCATCTATTTCCTCATTTCTTACAACACAATAGTATTCTATCATATTCGTATTCCTCAATGTGCTCATTCTCCAATTGATGGGCATCCTCTTGGTTTCCAGGCTTTTGTGAAAAATAGAAATATTTTCCACAAAAAAATACAACTGGAAATATATACATATATATATATATATATGACTTTTCCTTTTTTAAAAAAATCTGGATTTACCTAGAAATATATACTTATGTCAAAGAGTCTGTGTTGTTGTTCAATCATTTCAGTCATGTGTGATCCTTTGCAACCCCATTTTGGGATTTTCTTGGCAAAGATACTGTAGTGGTTTGCCATTTCCTTCTCCAGTTCATTTTAGAGATGAGGAAACTGAGGCAAACAGGGTTAAGTCACTTGCCCAGGGTTACACACATAGTAAGTGTCTAAGGCTACATTTCAACTCATGGAGATAAGTCTTCCTGATTTCAAGCCCACTAAGCCATCTAGCTGCCCAGGCACTGTGTTAAGCAGCAACAGTCCTGGAATGTCCCTGAAGCCAGAGCAAAGAGAAAAAGATATCTGAGCTGTGATATGCAAAGTGTTATGCTAGGTAGTGAGAATACAACTATGAAGAGGTATAAACCCCTACCTCAAGGAAATTTTAGCTTATAGGGTAGGAGAGGAAGGGAGATTTATATTATATTAATTATATATTATGTTCTATTCTGTTCAATTATATATGATACAGGATAGAATGATTGGAGCAAATAAAAGTCAGGCAAAGGGCCATAATAAATTTGAGGAGAGAAACCTCTCTTTTGTTCTAATAGCTAATGGAATCCAACTGAAATGAAAATTGGCCTGGGGGCTGCATATTGACTTTGAAAAATCACAAATTAATGTGATTTGATTTATTGTATTTTTATTTCTTTTATTAAACATTTCCTAATTGCATTTTAATCTGGTTCAGGAAAAAAATCAAGAAAGTTGTACTCCAATTGGGGGCTTTCCAGTGTTTGACATTGGAAACTCTGATTTGCTCAGCTCCCTTATTTTACAAATGAAGAAACTTAATATCAGAGTGAAGTGACTTGCCCAAGGTCACATACTTCCAAAGTGGCAGAGCCAACAATCTAGTCTTCTCATTCTAAACCCAATGCTCTTCCCACTAGATGAGGGTCTTCAAGAGAAGGTTATGTGGAGAATGGTCTCCTGTGTCACCCCTGCTATGGTATACTTATATTTTTATAAAGGATTGATGGACCCAAATGTCTAGATCTCCAAGAATACAGCCCTAAGGAAAGAAATTTTAAGTTACTATGTTTTCTGTAGAAAGCTGGAGGAAGGAAGAGGGGAGATGACTTAAAGGGTTGGAATACATTACAGTGCCTGGGAAATCAATTGAGAGTGAGTGATGCTTTGTTGTTCCGCGAGTTTTGATTCATTTGTAATTGTGAAGGGCTTAAAGATGAAAAACTCCAGAGGAAAGCAGAGTATGATGAAAGCAGCAAGATGATAAATACAGCTTCTTTTAAGAGAGAACATCCAGCTCTTCTATGTATAAATAGTCGCTATAGGCTAGTCACTATGATACATGTTTCTGTATCAGTCCCCAGGCTTGATGCATTATGAATGTAACCAATCTCTATATGAAAATAGGGGCTCTGAAGCAAGATCAACCCTGAGTACCCATGAGCAGCTGTTTTCTTTGGGCCTGAATGATTATGAAAATAAATCACAACCTTCATATTTTCAGTGCTTTGAACTCAAAGGGAAGGGTTTAGGATAGAAACCTTAAAGTGAAAGAGAGGGATATTTCCTGCCACTTAATAACACTGCTAGGCTTTCCTCAAGTGTTGTAGCTACAAGAATAGCCCATCCATGACCACATTTTTATTTGTCCATGTTTGATTCGATGTAATAACTATTTATTAAGTCTATTCTGCACAAAGCACTCACCCTAACCCACCATTCAAGCTTGTAGTAGAATAACCAGGGCAGATGTCCCAGACCAACGAGGAGCCATCTGTTTAGTTGCTCTTAACCTGAACAATCTCCCAACATATTAACAGTGACTGAGTCCAAGAGAAATCTACTGAAACCCTGAAACACAAACGAGCCAACAGACCTAAATTTGCCTTAGGAACTTGCAGAGCTCAGACCAGGAGGACAGTGGACAGACATCTTCTCATATGACACCAGTATGGGAACACTGAAAACTTCCAGGTTCCCAAACTGAGCCATGAAAATAGCAGAAAAATGTAAATAAATAGAAGCTCAGGCCAGATATCCACCCCCCACCCTCAAGAAGTACACAGAGCCCAGCACTAACAGAAAGTCTGAAGTCAAGAAGTAGGCTGAAAGAATGAGCAAACAAACAAACAAAAAAGAATCCAACCATAAAGAGCTGTTATGATGACAGGGAAGCTCAAGACAAAAACACAAAAGAAGACAATGATTAAAACCTCAAAGAAAAAATGTGAATTGGACAGAAGTTCAACAAGAATTCCTAGAAGAGTTAAATAAGGAGTTAAAAATAGCCCCCCAAAAATTTAAAAATCAACTAAGAGCCACAGGGGAAAGATATGAAAAGAGAATTAATGGCTTGGTAACAGAAGTACAAAACTTTACTGAAAAAAATGATTCCTTAAAAACTAGAATTGGTCAAATGGAAGTTAATGCCTCTATGAGACATCAAGAAATAATGAAATAAAGCCAAAAGTCTGGAAAAAAAAAGAAAAAAATGTCAAATATTTCATAGGAAAAACAACTGACCTGGAAAATAGATCAAGGAGAGATAATTTAAGACTCACTGGACTATTTGAAAGCCATGAACAAACAAATAGACAAAAAAAGAACCTAGACATCATATTTCAAGAAATCATTAAAAAAAAAACTTCACAGATATCTTAGAACCAGGTACAAAATAGAAACTGAAAGAATCCACTAGTCACCTCCTAAATGCAAACTTCCAGGAATATCATAGACAAAATCCAGAGCTCTCGGATCAAGCTGAAAATACTACAAGCAGCCAGAAAGAAAGAATTAGAGTAGTAAGGTATATAGTAAGAATCACAGAAAATTTAGTAGCCACCATTATCAAGGAGCACAGAGTTTAGAATATGATATTCCATAAGACAAAAGATCTAGCTTACAACCAAAAATAACTTACCTAGCAAAATTAAGTATAATTGTACAGGGGGGAAATTCATCTTTAACACAATAGAGGAATTCTAAGCATTCCTGATGAAAAAAACCAAAGCTGAGTAGGAAATCTGACATATATAGAATTCAAGAGAAGCATAAAAAGGCAAACATGAGTGAGAAATCATAAGGAACCAAAAAAGATCAAATTGTTTACATTCTTATATGTTTACATTCTGATACCTGTAACCTTTCAAACTTTATTTTTGCCCAGAGCCTTCAAAGGAGTTTAATTAACAGAAGTTCTGGGTAGGATTCAGTTAATGTTTGGATGATCTCAAAAAAAAAAAAAAGAATGGAAGGCTGGGGAATAAAAACGTTCTGGAAGAGGGGAAAATGAGAGGAAGAATAAGAAAAAAAATCTCACACAAATGGGGTATTAATGAAGGGTTTATACAATGAAGGGGTCTGTGGTGGATAGCAAGCAAACTTTGAACTTCACTCTGAATTGGTTAAAGAAGGTAAGAATACACAAATAAAGAATAAAGAAGATAAATATACACACAGTTGGGTACAGAAATTCATTTATCCAACAGGGAAGTAGGAGGAAAAAAGGTTAAGGGGAAAGGAGTGGAAAAAGAGAGAGTAGATTAAGGGAGGCAGAAGTTGGAAGTAAAGCAGACTCTTAAAGAGGGAACAAGGGAAACAAAAGAATGAAAAGCATAAGAGAATAGGATAGAGGGAAATGCATAGTTAGCAATCATAACTGTGAATATGAGTGAGATAGACTTACCCACAATATCAAAGATGACAGCAGAATGATTAGAAACCAGAATCCAATAATATGTTGTTCATAAGAAACTTACTTGAAACAGAAAACAACAACAACAACAACATAAGGGTTGAAACAAAGGGCTGGAACAAAGTCTATTATGCTTTACCCAAAGTAAAAAGGGCAGGGATGACAATTATGATCTCAGACAAAGCAAAAGTAAAAGAGACCTAATTAAAAGAGATAAAAAGAAAATCACATTTTGCTGAAAGGTATCATAAGCAGTGAATTAGTATCAATATTGAACATATATGCACCAAATGGCATGACATCTAAATTCTTTCTTTTCAAAAGTGGGTATTTATTGTTTAAATTGAGGAACAGATTATGAAGGGGTTGGGGGGGGCACATTCAGAACAGAGAGTCCAAGGTGGAGCCCTAGAGCAGAGGGAAGAAGGGAGGAGACAGGAAAACAAAAATCTCTCCTCTGTGTCTGCTCCAGATGGAGTCGATCTTGACTTCTGAGCATTGGTCCAGGGCACACAATGAAGTGCACGATAAAATGAAACTCCAGGGCTACAGATCTAGGAAACATCAAGGAGTGGCCAAAGTCATACATCCAAGCAGAGGAGGGGGCTGGGATTCTCCTTGGATCAGCAGTACAGCTTCCTTTTAGGAATTGAAGCAGAGGGATAAGTTCCAGTCCACTTATTTCAGCTCTTAGGAATCATCCTTGTAGTTAAAATCCTTATGCTAAGTATTTCTTTCATTGCCCTTCTAACTTCTTGTACTTTGCTTCTAGTTTCTTTGAATATGCATCCAACTTATATGCTGCCTGCTCCAAAGCTGCTACTTGCTTCTCAGTTGAAGTGATCTGATCCAGATAAGGCCCAAGTGCTGCAGATTTCTGGTTTAAGGTCTTTAAGTTTCTGCTTATGTTTACTGCACTATCTTTCATTTCTAGATACTTCAGGCTAGTCAGTTTGTCCCTATTTTCTAGAAGTTTACAGTCTTCACTGGTGGCTGTCAGCTTGCCTGTCAGGCATGTGACCATTTTGGAGAACATGTCTTGGCACAGCCTCGTGATGTCCACCTCGGCGGGCTCCATGGCTTCCTCGGTCATCTCCACCATGGAGGCATCATCTAGGCCAGGGGAAAGAGGAAGGAAAAAGGATGGAGGGAAGTATAGCAAAAAAGGAGGGAGTGGGGGAGGGAAAGGGGAGAAAACATGACATCTGAATTCTTAAAGGAAAAGTTAAATGAGTTATAGGAGGAAATAGAAAGGAAAATTATAATAGTGGGGGACCTCAATTTACCCTTCTCAGGCATAGTTACACATAACTACAAAATAAACAAGAAAGAAGTAAAGGAGATGAATAGAATTTTAGAAAAGTTAGATGTGATAGACCTGTGGAAAATACTGAATTGGAATAGAAAGAAGTATATTTATTTCTCATTTATATATAACACCTTTACAAAAATTAACCATACATTAGGTTTAAAAAAGAACTTCACAAACAGATACAGAAAAGCAAAGTACTGGATGAAACTTTTTCTGGCCACAATGCAATAAAAATTACATTCAATTGGGCATACAAATAAAACAACTAGGAAACTAAGATATTAGCATCCCCCTATTAAATACCAAAATAGAAATCCTGAAAACCAGAAAAGAGTTTAACAAAATTGAAGATTAAAAAAAGAAAAGCATTGAACTAATAAATAAAATTAGGTTCTGTTTGGCTTTTTTTTTTGTGGGGGGAGACACAATAAAATAGATAAGCCATTATCTAATGTGGTTATTTAAAAAAAGAAAAGCAAATTACCAATATCAAAAAATGAAAAAATGGTGAATTTGTAACCAATGAAGAAGAAATAAAAGAAATTATTGAGAGTTCTTTTAGTCAACTATATGACAATAAAACTGACAACATAAATAAAATGGATGAATATTTACAAAAATATAAATTACCCAGATTAATAGAACAGGAAATAGAATACCTAAATAATCCTTATCTTAAAAAAAGAAATTGAACAAGGTATAAATGAACTCCCAAAGAAAAAGGCCCACAATCAGATGGATTTACAAGAAAATTTTATTAAACATTTAATGAATAATTAATTTTAATACTACATAAACTATTTGAAAAAATAGGCAAAGGATCCTACCAAATTCCTTCTGTGACACAAACATGGCCTTGGTATCTAAAACAAAGAGAGTCAAAACAGAAAGAAAACTATGGATCAATTTCTCTGATGAATATTGAATTTAAAATTTTTAAAATAAATAGTAGCAAGAAAATTACAGTGTGGCACAAAGATTATACATTATAACCAGCTTGCATATTTATCAGGAATGCAGAGCTGGTTCAATATTATGAAAATTAGAAGCAAAATTGACCATATTAATGACAAAAACTGCAAACATCATATTATCATTTTAACTGATAACAGAAAAAACTTTTGACTAATTGCAGCATTCATTCCTGTTTTAAAAAAAAACTACTAGGAAGCACTGGAATAAATGGAGTTTTCCTTAAAATGATGAGTAGTATTTATCCAAAACTAAGAGCCAGTGTTATCTGTAATGGGGACAAAGCTAAAAGCCTTTCCAGCAAGACTAGGAGTAAAGATTACTATTCAATGTTATGCTGGAAATGCTAGCTATAGCAAAAACATAGGAAAAGAAAATTAAAGGAACAAGCAGAGGCAAAGAAGAAACAAAACTATCACTATTTAAATATATGATGGTTTATATAGAGAACCTTGTTCAGTCAATTAAAAAATTAATTGAAACAATGATTTCAGTAAAATTGTAGGATATAAAATAAACTCGACAAATTATCTGTATTTCTATATATTAGCAACAAAATCCAACAGGAAGAGATAGAAAGAGAAATTCCATTTAAAATAACTATAAATAATACAAAATACTTGGGAGTCTACCTTCCAAAACACACAGAACTTTATGAACATAATTACCAAACACTCTTCACAAAAATAAAGACAAATCTAAACAATTGGGAAAATGGCAATTGCTCATGAATAGGTCAAACCAATATTATAAAAGTGACAATACTACCTAAATTAATTTACTTATTCAGTGTCATACTGATCAAACTAACAAAGGTCTACTGTATAGAGCTAGAAAAAATAGCAAAAAGTTCAGGAAAAACAAAGGGTCAAGAATATCAAGGAAACCAATAGAAAAAATGGGAAGGAAGGGGGCCTAGAAGTACCTGATCTCAACCTATACTACAAAACCATAACTGTAAAAATTTTGTAGTGGGTAAGAAATAGAGAGATTGATCAACGGAATAGGTTAGATATAGAATAGAATAGAATAGAATAGAATAGAATAGAATAGAATAGAATAGAATAGAATAGAATAGAATAGAATAGAATAGAATAGAATAGATACATACATACATACATACATACATACATACATACATACATAGATAAGCAAATCAACACAGTAACCTAGTGTTTGATAAATGCAAAGATTCCAACTATTGGGACAAGAACTCACTATTTGACAAAAGCTGTTGGGAAAACTGGAAAACAGTCTGGCAGAAACTAGCTGTAGACCAACATTTCATATTATATATCAAGATAAGCTCCTAACAGGGATATGATTTAGACATAAAAGATGATACAAACAAATTAGTGGAATGTGGAAGAAAATACCTACAAGATCTGTGAATAAGGGAAGACTTACTTAATGAACAAACAGAAGAGAAAGGAGTTCATAGGAAGTAAAAAAGATAATTTTGAGTATATAAAATTTAAAAGATTTTGCATAAACAAAACTAATGCAGATAAAATTAGAAGAGGAGAAGGAAATTAGGAAAGGATTCATTTCTAACATATACAGAAAATGAAGTTAAATTTATGAGACTAAGAGCTCCAATTGATAAGTGGTCAAAGGATATAAATAGACAGCTTTCAGAGGAAGAAATCCAAGCTACCAATAGCCATATTAAAAAATGCTCAGCATCACCAATAATTAGAGAAATGAACATTAAAGCAACTCTGAGGTACAACCTCATACCCATGAGATTGGCCAAGTTAACCTAAAAAAGAAAAAGGAAAATGACGAATGAGGGAAGGGATATGGGAAATCAGGCTCTTTAATGCACTGTTGGTAGAATTGTAAACTAGTCCAACCATTCAGTAAAACAATGCAAAACTATGCCCTCAAAGCTATTAAGCTATGCATACTTTTTGACAATACCTCTACTAGGTCTATACCCCAAAGAAATCAAAGAAAAAGGAGATGGATCCATGCATACAACAATATTTATACCAATTCTTTACGTGGTAGCAAAGAATTGGAGACTGAGGAAATGCCCGTCAATTGGAGAATGGCTGAACAAGTCATGGTATGTAAATGTGATGGGACACTGTTGTGCTGTAAGAAATTGTGAAGGGGATGGTTTCACAAAAACCAGGGAAAATCTGTATGAACTGTTGCAGAGTGAAGTGAGTAGAACCAGGAGAATAATTTATACAGTAACAACAATATTGGAAGGATAATCAATTCTGAGTCTTTCAGACTCAGTAACTTAGCAACCCTGATCAATCTAATGAATGACCACAGTTCCAGAGGACTCATGATGAAACATACTGTCTACCTCCAGATAGAGAAGTAATGGACTCAGAGTAGAGATCAAAGCATATATTCTTTTTTCTCTTTCTTTTCTTTTACTTTTTTTTTGACATGGCTAATGCAGGAATTTGTTTTGCATGACTATACATATTTATAATGGGTTTTTTTTCTTGCCTTCTCAATGGGTGGGGGAGGGAGAGAATTTTGAGTTAAAATTAAAATTAAATTGAATTTGGAAAAATAATAAAAAGTAAAAATATGTGTGTATGGTCTTGATAAAACAAGGGGGTGGTAGATGCTAATTGAAAAGATATTTCCCTTGTGGGAGGAAATAACTGGTGAAGGAAATCTGAATTGCAGAATTGATGATGTGGAAATCTGAATGTCTGAAGGTAAGAAAACTCCAGGGAAAATCTAGACTTCTAAGTATTTTGAAATGGGAGAGAAACCATCTGCAGTTAGAACAGGCTGACAGAACCAGAAAGATCAAAAAGAACCTTTTTTCTTCAAAACTCAGAGTAGACTACCAGCCAAAAACAAGTGGAAAGAATACATTTCTGAATTCCAGGAACTTGAAAGAGAATTCTGACAAATCAGTCTTAGAAGATTGCCATACAAAGATGTGTCATTTAAATTTCCATTATAGAGGGATGATCCTACCCATAGGAGCACTTGTCTTTCATTGGTATTGAAAGGTTTTCTGGGCTTGCGGGGTGCTGTATCTGAGGAAATAAGATGTGAGCTACCAGCTCAAACAACTAGATGGGACCTAGTTATTCTAAGTACTAAGTTCCTTTGCACATGCGTGAATGGAACCTGCCTGGCTCCCAATACTCAAAGACTTTCCTTTTAATGACTATGGTTTCCAACAAGCGATATGAGTAACTATAGTAATTCATAAATCTCTTGTTGGTTCAGTCTTATCCCATTGAGATTCTAATCTAGAGCTGGCATGGACGTTAAGGGATATCAAATTCAAACTCTTCATTTTACAGATGAAGAAAATGAGGCACATCTCACCTCTTTCTCAACTTCTCATGACCTTAAAGGAGAACTTGGACTTTTCATAATCTGCTCCCTTCCTACCTTTCCAGTCTTCTTGTACTTTACTCTCTTCTACAGGCTTTATGATCCAACGATAGTGGCCGTCTTGCTGATCTCCTACAAGACACCCTATCTCCTAACTGTGCATTTCATTGGCTGCCCCTGTTCTGTAAAGGGTGAGGGGTGATCTGTGCTTTGGCTCGTCAAATTTACTGCCACTCAAGTTTATTCATTGGCTTTTCAGTGCAGAGGCAGCTAGGTCAGTCAGTCAATGAGCATAAAGTCTTATGGCTTGCCATTCACTGTGTTAAATCTTGGGGAAACAAATAAAGGCAAGAACTAGGCCCCTGTCCTCAAAGAGCTCATGTACTAAAGGGTGGCTCAGTGGACAGAATGCTGCACTTGGATTCAGGAAGATCTGAGTTCAAATCTTGCTTCTGTTACTTACTAGTTGCATGATCCCAGGGAAGTCCCTTAACTCTGGTACTCGTTTATTTAGGATGTTAGAAAGCCCTGAATCAAACTCCCCTCATTTTACAAATAAGGAGGCCCATAGAAATGGAATAACTTCCTCAGGATCCCACTATTAATCTGTGACTAAAGCGAGATTTGAACTTGTCTTCCTGACTCCAAGCCTGGCATTCTATTCACTACCAGTCTATCCTTTCAATAT